TTTCTCAATTTGTTTAAGAGAAAAGCAGTAGACACATATATGCTAAAATTGTAAGTTTCTTTTAGAATGGGGATTAAATTCAAAGATGTTTTGTTACCTGCACATTTTTGTTACCTGTGTCTTACATGCTTTTATGAATAAAAGTTAACATTATTTTAACAATTTCTAGAATTATAGACTAAATTCTTCGTATGATCAGACCAGAAATATCTTTTATTAACATGAAGGAAAACTGTCTTATGGCTACAATTGAATTTTCATATCACAACATACTTTCTCTTATCTCACTTTCTTTTCTTTGTGGTACTGGGGTGCATACCCAGGGGCACTCTACTCCAGAGTTAACATCTCCAGACTTTGCATTTCTTATCTTGTTTGATTGATTGATTGATGGGATCAAACTCAGGACCTTGTGCTTGCCAGACAGGTGTTTATGCTGCTGAGCTCTCTCCCTGGGTAATTTTTTATCTTGAGACAGCATCTCATTAAGTTGCCCAAGCTGGGTTCAAACATGTGATCCTCATGTTTCAGCCTTCAGAGTAGGTGAAATTACAGAAATAAACCACCACACCTGGCTTTTATTTCATATTTTTATGTTTCTTATGTGTATCATGAAATTGATGAGCCTTGTTCAGTGCAAATGTCAACAGAAAGTTTTTGGACTAATGAGAGTTAAACATAATGTGTTTTCTAATCACCAAGACTGTTGGTATATATTGTTTTTTGTTTTTGTTTTTGTTTTTTTGCGGAACTGAGAATTGAAATCAGACCCTTGCGCCTGCCAAGCACTTATTCCACTGAGCCATCTCCCAACCCCTGGTATATATTGTTTTAAAAGAGAGAAATGCAAAAACTGTCTGGTGAATGAAAAGTTCTAGCTATAGCTCATCCACTAGATGATAAGTTGTAGTGACCTGCTTTTGTTGAGAAAATGCCTGGGAATGTAGTTCCTGGTTCTTCAAAAAGACATGACACGAATACTAATATTGTTCATATGGTAGGCATCTTATTTATATGCCCTTTTAAATTATGGTAAAGTGTTCCATATATGGTTAAAGTTATATTTTGTCTTATTTGCACTTTGTTGTTTACTGCTTTTTCCTTTATTTTAGGCCTGCAAAAATTCAATCTGCCTTGATTTATCTACTAATTGTTTGCATGGAAGATTAACAGGAAACAAAGTGGTGAACTGGGACATTAAGGTAAGTTGTGATAAATGATGGGGTTGTCCGATTTAAGTGAGTTTAATTATCATTTTAAAGATTTTTATCTTTTAAGCACCACCAGATTTATCTGAGTACAGTAATAATTATCAAAGTGTTACGCTGTTAAACAGTTTGAAACAAACCAGGTAATCAAAATAACTTCAAGGGTTGTATGACTGATTTGCTTAAAACTTAATTACCTTTGTAAGAGATAATCCTTAATAAGTCTCCATAAGAAAACTAGTATGTTTTAATTCAGTAGCCTACTTTTTAGGGGTCTTTTTTCCTTTTCTTTTGGTATTAGGAATCAAACTCAGAACCTTATGCCTACCAGGCAAGTTCTGTGTCACTGAATTTTATCCTCAGCCCCTTTTTAAGCGTTTAATTCCTAAATACTATGGCAGATTTTAATGTCTTAAGGTTCTCAGAGGCTTTATTGATTATCTCTTTCCTCCTGTATCATACACCTCATCGGTATAGTTTCTTCACATCATCTTCAAACAAACTCAAGTCTTTCCTCTCTGAAGTTAAAAATGAATTTCCTCCTCCTGTCCACAATGACCTTAGCTGTCATATTTTGTCTGCCTTCTGATAGGTGTCAATGATGTGTTGCATCTTAAACTTTGCTTCTATGGCATTTATTTCATGTATAATGCTGAATATTAATTACTTGCTTAATTCTCCAGTGGATTGTAAGGACTTTGTGAAGGAGGGGCCACTACTACATAGTACAAGGATATAGAGTAATGGTTGACTCTTTTTTAAATACAGCATTTCGTCAATATTTTATTTTGAGTAGAAATTATAACATATGAATACAACATTATGCAATTTATTAATTATTGTAACTGTCCTACTGACCTGTTTGGAAACTGTCTCATTACTATTTTTTTATCAATAAAATTAATTAAAACAAAAACAAAGTGAACATATTTGTTTTCTGGCTAAATAAAAAGTACCTTTTTATGGCAAAATGGGGAAAAAAAAGAAATTATAACGTAAGTAAAATAAAAAGAAATATAACCTGGGCACAGTGGCACATAGCTGTAATCCAAACACTCTGGGAGGCTGAGATAGGACAATTACAAGTTCAAGCCTGGCCTTGGGAACTTAGTGACTTAAGGAGACCCTGTTTCACCATTTACAAAAAAAAGGGGGGATTAAATGGCAGATGGTCCAGAAACTACCCCTGCTCCTCCACCTATAGAAGAGGAGAAAACAGAATCAAATTAGAAGATTGCTAACCTAGAACATTATATTAAACATCCTCTACAGAACAGATGGACAACTTGGTTTTTAAAAAAACGATAAAAGTAAAACATAACCAAGTAACCACATATAAGTTTCACATGATGAAACCGAGGCCAGAGAAATTAGTGATTTATAAAGATATATATATAGATAGATAGATATCTATATATATATAGATATATAGATATATAGATATTTTTTTTTTTTTGCCTTTTTGAGACAAGATCTTGCTATGCAATTCAGGCTGGCTTGAAACTCACTTTGTTTGTTTGTTTTTTTGGCAGAACTGGGGATTGAACTCAGGCCCTTGAGCTTGCCAGGGAAGCGCTTATTCCACTGAGCCATCTCCCCAGCCCCTTGAAACTCACTTTGTAGCATAGGCTGGTCTCTAATTTGCAATGGTCCTCCTGTCTCAGCCTCCCAAGTGCTAGGATTATAGGGATGCACTACCATGCCTGGCTGTATTTTGTTAACCTATCCAAAATATCCGCGCAGGTTGAATTATGGATGAAGCCAGCCTTCTCACCTTTATGTTAACCAGAAATAGAGGGGCCAGTCATATTTCTACTACCAGAACCATTGTTTTGTTTTTGTTATTATTGTGTGATAGGGTCTTGGTACATAGTTGAACCTGGCCTTGAGCTCACTAGATAGCCTAGGGTGACCTTGAACTTGTGGCAGTTCTGCTTCAGCCTGCCAAATTTTGTGATGCCTATCTCAAATGCATTTTTTAAATTCTCTTCTTCCTTATGTGTAGTTGCCTGGTGACAGGTTTGACAATTGTTAAAGTTGTATTAGAGTCTCCTTATGAAATTATGTTTGGATAGCCTCTTTAAAACCCCTAAATCCACATTAAAAGGTACAATAATAATGGTATGAAGTAGTCTCTCCCACACTCCTCCTTGAGTCTGATTTTTAAAGCATCTTCCCATAATAGGATTTCTTCACTTTAACCTATGCTATACATTATTTAAGGTTTATTAACAAATTGTAACTTAGTACATGCTATATAAATATTAGATGACACTATTGAGCTTTTGTGTTATAAGATGAAGACTTCGTGGCTTTGTTCTTAGGACATCATCAACTGCATAGGTGGATTGAATGTACTGTTTCCTTTGTTGGAGCAAATCAGCCACATGAGTAAAGAGCAGATTGCTGAAGGAAGGAGTGAAAGCACAGATCCTGAATTGGTTGCACCTGTGGAAAGAGATAGCATGGTGCCAACCTCCACAAAGGCATCAGGTATTAAGTTGGAATCAACAGAGGGCTGGGGAGGTAGCTCAGTGGCACAGTGACTGCCTGGCAAGTGCAAAGTCCTGAGTTCAATTTGCCATACCAGAAAAAAAGTTGGAATTAGCGTAGTCTTCATGAGGTATTTGACAATTAATTGAAAAATGAATTTAAATATTTTGCTATAATTAGGAATAAACTTAACCATTTGTAGGTGTAGCAGCTGTCCCTGATTTTACTAATATAAGTCAGGAAGTGTATACTACTATATTTTTTTTGTTTTTTGTTTCATTTTATGTATTTGGTACAGGGTTTCACTACGCAGCTCAGACTCATAGTGATCCTGTTTTCAGCCTCCCCAGCACTGGGATTATAGGCGTGTGCCACCTTGTCCAGACTCAGTCACTGGCTCAGTGCGCCATGGGGTTGGGGCCAGTCCAGCATGCAGGGCCTTGGTCCCTGTACTTGCCAAAGCAGGTGCTTAGTCCACTGAGCTATCTTGCCAGCCTCCCTTTGGTCAAAATATAAAGATATTAGTTTTATTCTTTTCTCTCTCTCTCTCTCTCTCTCTCTCTCTCTCTCTCTCTCTCTCTTTCTCTCTCTTTTTCTCTCTCTCTTTTTCTCTTTTCTTTTTGGTACTGGGACTCAAACTCAGGACCTTGCACTTGCCAGGCAGACATTGTGCCACTGAGCTGTCTCCCCAGCCCATTGTCTTTATTCTTAACTAACTTTATTCTCCTAATGGAAGAAGAACCAGATTGTTAAATTTGTAGCAGAGGAATAGTTATATGTGTATGTAAGTGTACGATGTACAATGGCAGCTTTTTCTGATTTAGTTGTACAAGAAAGCCTGAGAAGCACACTGAGCTAGACTTTTTCCTGTTACAGTATGTACTATGAAATAGAGTAAGTAATTGTAATATTGACATATTCCCATTTCAACAGAATCAAGACTAGAGAAAAATCTAGTGGCAACATTTATCTTGATTGTGAAACATCTTATTCAGAGACACCCAATCAACCAGGACAACCTCATTCATTCCCATGGAGTTGCAACTCTTGGCACCTTACTTCAGAAGGTGAGACACATTTAACGTTGTGTTAATACATTGATGATTTTAATTAGAAGTTGATGCTGGCATTCTTTTCTTCCTATTGAATAATATATTATTAAATATTACAATATTACAGATTATTACATTAATAGATATAAGTTGTTTTCCGGTAGCTGTAAAAATTTCTATGAAATCATGTTATATAAGAATTACTTATTTTAGGCCAAATGTGGTGGCACATACCTGTAATCCTTGTCCTTGAGAAGTTGAGGCAGGAGGATAGCCATGAGTTTGAAGGCTAACCTGGGCTACATAGTGAGTTTAAGGCCAGCCTGGACTACACATAGGACCATCTCAAAAAAAAAAAAAGGAAAAAATTACTTAATTTAAATAACACTGTATATTCTTTGAGATACCTATCCTTGTTCATTGGCTTTTATATTTGGAATGTTTGAGAGGCATAAGCCTAGTTTAGAAATACATTTTTAAAATATGTTCTAATGTTATATCAGAAAAACAAATGATTCAGTGGTTTATATTTTTCTACCCTGTTTTTATTTTTTTACATTTGTTAGGTGTTCTGAATATACAGTTTAATGACAGTCATTCCCCCTTCCTTTTGTTTTCAGGTACCAAGCACCTTAATGGATGTTAATGTATTGATGGCAGTTCAATTACTAATTGAGCAGATATCCTTAGAGAAAAATGTGCTGCTTCTGCAACAAATGTACCAGTATTTACTCTTTGACTTCCGTGTTTGGAATCGTGGAGATTTTCCCTTCCGAATTGGTGAGAGCAGGCTGTTGGATCAAATTTTATGATTATTTCAGAAATTTGCGAATATGTGACTTTATTTTAGTTACATCATTTAAACATGAACTTTCTGTTTTAGGTCATATACAGTATCTTTCAACAATCATTAAAGATAGTAGAAGAGTTTTCCGAAAGAAGTATGGTGTGCAGTTTCTCCTAGATACACTTAGGATTTATTATGGGTATGATGTCTTTCCTTCTTCTTGGTTTGCTGTAATGTTTCCTTCTGCTACTTGACTGGAACAGGTAGCTTTCTCTTTACTAGCAATTCCATTATCTTTTATCTACAAAGGAACTTAGTAGCATGAAAGTTAAAATGATAACAATGATCCATGTACATTAGGTTTGAATATTGGCTTCATAAATTATGTGGCTAGAGGCAGATTTCTTATATTCTCTGTGCTTGCATTTCTTAATCTGTGAAAAGGTTAAAAGCATGGCCTTCTGTGGTAGTTTTGAGAATTAATTGTGTTAAGTACATACAGCTGTGTCTGCTACCTCTTAAGTGTTGTATAAATCAAAGCTGTCTTAGTATTTTTAATTTTCATCATTGAAATTCTCAAAAAGATTTTTCTTAAAACAGTCAAATTTACCATGAATTCTAATAACTAATGGGTCTTTTCATTTTATTTATTTTTTATTTTTTGGCAGGACTGGGGATTGAACTCAGACCCTTGCACTTGCCAGGGAGTGCTTATTCTACTGAGCCATCTCCCTGGCCCCAATGGGTCTTTTTAAAGCTGTGAAATATTTTATATTAAAATAACAGAGTATTAAAATTTTAATTCCACTTTTGTGTTCTCTTTCAGGAGTGGTTGTAAACATAATGAGCTATCTCTAGACGATATTCAAACGATAAGAAGTTCTTTGTATGGACTAATTAAATATTTTCTGTGCAAAGGTGGAACTCATGAAGAGATACAAAGTATTATGGGTTACATAGCTGCTACAAATGAAGAAGAACAGGTATTATGCCTAAGATAAATCTGTTTTTTCCTTTTAACATTTAAGTTGTTGCATTATTATCTCATAAACTTACAAGTATGGCCGGGGAGATGGCTCAGTGGAATAAGCGCTTCCCTGGCAAGCACAAGGACCTGAGTTCAATCCCCGGTTCCGCAAAAAAAAAAAAATAAATAAATAAACCTACAAGTATGCTTAATTATTTTACTAATAAAATATATGATATAATATTACACAGTTAAGTAAAATTTACTGTCTCAAGTTTTAATAAATATGTAACATATAATTTAATATTATTTGTTGTAGTGGGGATCCAACCCAGGGATACTCTTACCTATGAGCTACATCACTACCCTTTTTTAATTTTAAGATATAGTGTCAGCCAGGCCTTGTTATACATACCTGTAATTATAGCACTCTGGGATGCTGAAACAGGAGAATTACAAATTTGAAGACCCTTTCTCAAAGAGAGACAGATAAAAAAAGGGGTAGAGATATAGTTCAATATGAAGGCCCTGGATCTAATCCACAGTACTAGAATGAATGTATGTATGTATGTATATATGTCACAGTTTCACTAAAGTGTCCAAACTGACCTGAACTTTTCAGTCCTCCTACCTCAGCCTCCAGAGTAGATAGGATTAAAGGGATGTGTCCCCCATGTCCAACAATTGAATTATTTAGTTATAAAATATAATTTGTGGGGGCCAGGGAGATGGCTCAGTGGAATAAGCGCTTCCCTGGCAAGCACAAGGGCCTGAGTTCAATCCCTGGTTCCGCAAAAAAAAAAAAACCAAACATAATTTGTGAAAATAGTTGTTGTATCTGGCAATTCTGAAGTTATTTTCCTGGCCCATTTGTTGTATGTTTACCTATTATCAGAGTTACACTGTAGATTTTTAGTATGACTTTTAATGTAGCGTAATTTCACAAAAATGTTGCATAAAGCAAAACTTAAATATGTATGTATTTTTATTTTTTATTAATTTTTTTGGCGGAACCAGGGATTGAACTCAGACCTTTGCATTTGCCAGGGAAGACCTTATTCTACTGAGCCATCTCCCCAGCCCCTATATGTATTTTTAATACCTTTACATGCATTATCTTTTATTTCTCAGAACTGTCCTTCAAGGCAACAGTTCTTAGTGTTGGTCCCTAATCAGCTTTAACCTGGAGCTTATTAGCAATATATGTACAGTATCTACTGATTTAACTAATGAAATAAGCACTCTAGGTAATTCTGTTATACATGTTAAAATTTGAGAACCTCTAATTAAAAAATCACACAACTGATCTACCTAAAACTAGAATCCAAGTATGCTTTCTGATATTTCTGTGCTGTTTTTGACATTTTAAAAAATTTATTTATTTATTTTATGTGTTTGGTACAGAGACCCACTATGCAGCTTAAACTCAGTGATACTTCTGTTTTCAGCCTCATCAGCGCTGAGATTGCAGGCATGCACCACCATGTGTCCTGGTGTCCATGGCCAGCTCAGTGTGCCCAGCAGTGGGGCCAGCATGGTATGTGGTACCAGGGATCTAACCCTGGTCCCTGGTCATGCCTAAGCAGGCACTTACTGCTGAGCTATCTCACCTGCCCTCTGTGTTCTTTTTATTTAATATTCTGACCACCACAAATTTGAGCAGCCTTAATTTACATTGACTAAAATATTTTCCCTCTATATATAATGTTCATTTGTGAACTCAGTAGTTGTAGAACCTCATAATTGGTATTTTACAGATGAGTTAACTGAGGTAATTTTCCTATAAGTTGAACAGCTTCAAAAACTTCTGATTACTGAGCATAATGGCACATGTCTGCAATCTTAGCTATTAGGGAGAACGAGGCAGTATGGCTTCGAAGTTTGAGGCCAACTTAAACAATTTAATGAGACTTTATTAAAAATAAGTATTAAAGGTTGGTAATATAGTTCAGGAATAGAGTGCTTGCCTGCCATGCTTGAGGCCTGTAGGTTTAATCCCCTATATCACAAAATACAGGTAAAGAAACAAAAAATAAAAATAAAGAGCAAATTTTCTCAATATTTAGAATGATGAATATTTTATCTTAAGATATCTGTACCTATGGTTCATGGCCAGTGATTTTTTTCTTGGTCAACTCAAAGAGTTATTTGTTAGGAGCCTGGTATATACATAGAGAATGTATTAAACCTTGTAGGTAATACAAAGATGAATACATTATCATTCTTTTATCCTAATGGAGGCAAGGGCCAATAAAAGAGATTCGTAAGTAAATGCAAAGCAGAAAGAGTATAATATCAAGAGAGATAAGAAGTTCTGAGAGGATTCTATAGGAACGTTTTACATGTTGAGCAGACCAGGAAAGGTGGATATGGTAGAGATATCTTTTCACATGCCAGGATGGGTAGGGAGGGATGGTTCTTATGGTGTTGGATATGGAAAAACGTATATGAAGTCAAAAGCATAGCAGAATGAGCAGGCAAGGGCAGGCTCAGAAGACATCAGATAATTCAGTAAAGCTAAGCATTGGCATATATAGGGTTTTTTGTTTGTTTGTTTGTTTGTTTGTTTGGCTGGCCTGAAGGTGGGTCTGGCTTGGCATGTGGTGCCAGGGATCAAACTGTGGTCCCCTACACCTGCCTAAGCTTGCTGTAGCAGGCACTTTAGACCGCTGAGCTATCTCACCAGTCTCTGTATGTAGGTTTTGGTCAAATAACTTTTGTGTGGTTTATGATTTTTATGTGCTTACATACATTAATGTAGCTCTATGTTTTTGTGTTAATTTTCAAAGCTCTTTGGAATTTTGGATGTGCTCTGTGTTCTCCTATGTACCAGCCCAACAAGAGGTCAGCTTTACTTACTGCTGTTTGAACCAGGAAATGCTGACATCCTTTATGCATTACTCTTAAATCAGAAGTACTCTGATAAACTACGGGAAGTTGTTTTCAAGGTACAAACATCTTATCATCTTTATATTTGGGATCATTTGTGGGTATATGAATTCACTTGCAATTCATCTTTTTTTTGTATCTATTTAAGTTTACTTTGACATTTATTTTTCATGTTAAACTAACTATAACTTGACAAATAATCTCTGGTGTATCCCCTGGATTGCACCATCCTCAATATAAAACATCTTGTGTCCTTTTTAACTAATGGTGGATATATGCGCCAATTCCGAACATTTTAACAGTTAATAATAGGTGACGTGCTGGGTGTGGTGACACATGCCTATGATCTCAGCACTCAGGAGGCTGAAGCAGGAGGATGGCTTCAAGTTCAAAGCCATCTGGACTACTTGGCAAGATTCTGTCTCAAAAAAAAAAAAGAATAGCTGATCTACATGGCACCCACTAACTGTCAGACAGCATAAGCACTTTAAATGTAGTACCTTCCTTAATCCCTAACAAATTTTGTCAAGGGGATATTGCTGTTACTCCCATTTGCAGATGAAAAACTGAAGCCTAAAGCCAAAGAAGTTAGTGACTTATCAAAAGACGTAGAACAGCCAGGCATGGTGGTGCACGCCTGTAGTCCCAGCACTCTGGAGGCTGAGGTAGAAGGATCCCCATGGGTTCAAGGCCAATTTTGGCTACATAATGAGTTCAAGGCCAAATTATATGGCAAGACCCTGTCTCAAAGAAAAAAGAGAAGGTGGGGAGATAGCTAGCAGGCCTAAGTGCCTGTCTCACAAGCACAAGGTTCTGAGTTCAGTCCCCCCTACCATATGGCATGCCGGCCCCAGAACCGGGCATGGTGGCACACACCTGTAATCCCAGCACTGGGGAGGCTGAGACAGGAGGATCACTATGAGTCTGAATTACATAGCAAGATTCTGTATTAAATAAATAGATTTTTTTTTTTTTTTTTTGCGGAACCAGGGATTGAACTCAGGCCCTTGCACTTGCCAGGAAGTGCTTATTCCACTGAGCCATCTCCCTGGCTCCTAAATAAATAGATTTTTTTTTAAAAAAAAAGAAATAAAACATATATTACTAAGTTATCCAAAGTGTCCAAGACTATGAACTTTGGCCAAAGCCACACAACTCACCTTTTTATTAACTAAAATTAAAGGAGTCATTTATATTTCTAAAACCAAATGCACTTTTTTAATTATTATTCTGTTTATTATGCCTTTTTGCCTGTAAACATTTGTTTGTTCTGATATTCTTAACATTGTAAAGACTCGTTATGGAATAATGTTTGGATTCCTCATATTGGAAATCCCTAAACCTTATGGAATAAAGATGCAATAAGAATATTCTGAAATGGCCTTTTTTGAGTGTTGATTATAGTGACTTCTAAAGCTGTTCTAAGAGCCTCTGTCCTTAAAAGAGTTCCATATGGCAATTCAGTGTTATTTCTTAAATTGATCTTAAAAGAATTGTTTATGGTATTCTGCCAAGATTACCCTTCAGTGTATGATTATAGTACCTCTCTTATAAAATGTTGATCTCATCTCAAAAGCATCAGGCTACTAATTCGATCCCTTTTAGCATATGAATTGGATGGCTTCACAAATCCTTCTTTGTTCTTGAAAATTATTTTGATAAATATAGAAATAACCATGTGTGATGTCACGTTCCAGTAATATCAGCATTTGGAAGGCTGAGGCCAGAAGGATCGTTGCAAGTTCAAGGGCAGCCTGGGCTACATAGTGAGTTCAAGCCTGTCTTGAATTCCATAGTGAGACTGTCTCACAGAAACAAAACAATAGTTACAGAAATGAATTACATGCCAGGCTTGGTGGCCCACACCTATAGTCTCCCAGCACTAGAGTGACTGAGGCAGGAGAATTGCTACAAGTTCAAGGCCAGCCTGGGCTACAAAGTGAGTACAAAGCAAGTTGAATTGCATAGTGAGACCCTCTCTCAAAAAGACCAGTAATGAATTAACAGTATGAGATTGATCCAGAGTTTGTTTTGACACAGCTTGCTCCTCCTGCAAGCTATATATTTTCATTTCTTTTTTATTTGCTATATTTAAACCAAAGCTTTAAACATTAGTTATTCAACTACACATGAATTTTACTGCAGTGTTTTGTTTTTCTTAAAGGGCCCACAGGTTTATTTCTGGCTCTAGACCCCCTACTCATTCTGTTACAGGGTAACTTTCTATCTCCTTTTCTACCTTTCATACCAAATAAGGAATTTTTGTTCTCACTTCTAAACCTTATAGTTCTAATTCTTTACTGATATAAGTTTAAGATTTCTAGTTGGCTGCAGTATTAGTGTGGTGCATATGCACACACACACATACATAACACTGTGAAGCCAGTCATGGACTGAAATATGAATCAAAATAAACCTCTGCTGTCTTAAATGGTGAGCGTTGGGTATTGTATCCCAGCACAAAGTGACTATTTTAGTTATTTTTCACTCGTTGCTGAGGGAAAGGGTTTGTGTAGATTTCAGTCCATACTCAGCTAGTTCCAAGACAGAGTGGCACATGGAAATGGGAAACAGTTTGTGGTGGTGGAAAACAGCAAAAGCAACAACAGCAGAGAGGGAGGAGCCAGTGCAATCTATTTGTAAATCCATTTTAGTGATAGTATAATATAGTACTCCCAACTAGTGGTCTTCTTTATACCAAAGAGTAAAATATTATTCTAAAAATGAATTTAAATTTTTCATTCAGTAGTAGCTTAAATGACAAAACTGTTTAGTTCTTTATATTGAGAATGATATATTGTTATGATCAGGTTATGGAACAGATGTTGAAATGCACAAATGTTTATGAACGTAGTAAACAACGTATTCGACTCAGAGAAGTTGGCTACTCAGGATTGGGACTCCTCCTTAATGAAGCATCCATTAACACCTCTCTCATTAAAAACCTTACCAATCAGATCATATATACAGGTATGCATAACGCTAATGATACTAATAAATTTAAGAAATGTTTATTCCTGGCTGGAAGAATATTTTTACGCTACTTTCTCAGGTTGCTTTTTAAATTAGCTGTTATTTGATTCAGCAAGATCAGTCTTAGGTACTATGTACTTTTGTTGCTTTGTGTCTCCTGGGAATAGCACATTTTCTCTTACTCAATAAATGTTTATTGACTGATTAAGTTAACAATTGATAACACAAGCAAAAAAAGAATGCTATTGGTAATATGAACAAAAGATGCTTTTTCCTTTCTTTTTCCTCTTAACTTTGACTTTATTTTTTGTTTGTCCATGTTTGCAGTACAAAATGTTTTACGGTCTTTGTGGGGACTGATACATGTACATGACATAGGTTCATTACTTTTTTATCCCCCATCCCAGGAAAAATGAAAACTAATTTCAGATACATTTTCTTAAAAGCTTTAATATTTTTAATAAAAAAATTTGGTACTTGCTACAAACTAGAGTTTATGCCAAAGGCCAGGTATATTGGGCACAATTTTTTTTTTAAATCTTTAGTGGTTCACAATCTCATTAGTAAAACACAACAGGTAAGATACATATGTAGTAGATAGTAGTATTAGAGGCATGTAAGATGGACATTTTTTTCAGGCAGTCTAGGGAAAACAGCAGTTGTGTTGGATTGGGTATGAAACATTGTAAACTTTTCCTTCTCCTTTTTTCTCTCTTTGGTAAAATTTGACCATACCTGTAATTCTTATATGAAAATGAAATAATCATTTCAGTATTTGTTAATATCTAACAATATTCATTTTCTATCTTTACCTATGTATGAATCTGAATTTTAATCTTTTGGTTTTTTTCCACCATAGACCCTGTTATTAATTTCAAAGATCTGTTATCTGTGTTATATATCTCTCACAGGACATATATAAATGTCAGAGTGGTTCTCTGCAGAAAGGTTAGTAAACCCTTAAAATATATTTTAACAATATCTCCATCATATTGTCAATAACTTTCATTGAATATTTTGTAGAAATAAAAGTTTTGATTTAACTTATTTTATAAATAAAATTATTTGTACAAAAATAATTTCCTTTTAAGAGTAAATTTACACTGGGTATGATGGTGTACACCTGTAATCCCAGACTGAGGCAGAATAGGCAGGCTGACACAGGAGAACATGTTAAAACAGGAACACTAAATCTTCTGGAGGAAAATGTAATGTAAATAGAAATCTTAAAAGACAGGGGTAGGTAGAGAGTTCATGAACAAAATCCAAACTGCATGTGAAATACTTCAAAGTATCAACAACTTGGAACTCATCTTTTTGAAAAGTTTCTGCACTTCAACACAAATCTCTAAGAGTAAAAAGAAAACCCACAAATTATACCTGACTGTCCCTCTGACAAAGGCCTT